ATAGTATTTTGATCATTGTTGGTGTCATTTCTTTAAGTTTCAGTCTTTTTCAAGTAAGTAATTTATTTTTCTTTTTATTTAGACGTTGATAACGTGGATCGTTTATTAAAATAGCATTTCGTTGCAGTGTCTCCTACTAATTAAAATAGCGAACGATATAACTAGTATCTCTCTAAATATTATAACGATAGTTGCTCTTTTAGCTTACATGTTTGTCGGTAATTATGTTGGACAAGAAGTAACGGATCATGGAGTAAATTTTTTCCGTGCAACGTAAGTATCGTGTTTAATACATGATCACACTCGTGTCTGTAGGATTACCTAAATTTTATTTAAATCGTAAACAACTAAATGAATAAAATATATTATAAAATTGCCTTTATCTTTTTGCTAATTTACAACAGATTTTATGTGAATGTTAAATATATTGCAGTTGTAATGGATTATGGTACACAGCACCAGTACGTACTCAGAAATTGATATTGTTTTTAATGCAAAAAGGGATAAAGAATATTACTTTGAGAATTGGTAACTTATACGATGCGTCCTTGGAAGGTTTTACTGCGGTAAAATTAAAATTTCTTTAACATAACAAAAGGATTGAACTATTAATTGCATTTAACGAGTAATTGATTGTGCTTCTTACAGCTCGTAAATATGGCAGTATCCTATTTTATGTTGATGTATCAGACCCAATAATAACAAATTGCAGAGTTTATTATCAATCAGATGAATTTTTATCAGGTTGACAGAGTTGTAGAACATGTATTTTAGATTTGTTGAATATAATGTGTTAAACAAGCGTAACATTCTTTCATTATTTTGGTCCAATATTAATAAAGAGATAACTTAACAACAAATGGCATTAAAATATAATATAAGTAAATGAAAGAACAGGTTTAAATTGCTTATAGTTGTATCGATTATAAAATATTAAAGCGAATTATTTCGATCGTGAGTGGATTATTAATCGTTTAAAATGATCTTTCGCGGTTTCAAATTATAGCAATAAGTTTGATATCATATCAATCAACTGAAAGTTACTTATATAATTCCATACTTTCTTTATTAGGCGCTCAATTCTTATATTTTTATTTTTTCTTTGATTTATTTAATTTTAATTAATTAAATTTATTAAAGAAGATTTATAATTTATAATCAAAGGATAATAAGAAGACATAACTGTGGCAATATGTAAAAATTTTTTAAACTTACAATTTGAGCGAATTTGTTGTTTTGTAATTGAATTCTATTCTATTATGGTATGTGATAGTTCGATGGTTGAGAAGAAATTGATACGTTGTTCAATACGATAGTTACGTATTTGCTACTGGGTATGTCCATAAAAAATAAAAACAGCGAGGACGCGGAGTAATATTATTCCGCAATGAAGTGTAAAAATGTTTCGCAGCAATTTAAACAAATTATGTATAGTTCCTAATATTCGGGAAATAACGATATAACTTTACTTTCGAAACAATTTAACGTACACATTGCACATATTGTAGAAAGCACTAATCAATAATTCAGCAGGGATATACGTACGTTCTATTTTACATTCTTTTACGCTTATTATTGAAAGGAATTGAAATAGTGAGAGAAAAATACAAGTTGAAGTAAATTTATTTTTACTGATATTATGAAAATGGTCACTAGCGTTAGAAGAATGTAAAGAGTCGTGCAACAGTCATGTCGCAATACTTGTATGAAGTACGTGCTATCGAAGAACGCTATTACAGAATTAATCGAGTGCTTCTGAAATCGATTGCTTTATGGCCTTACCAACAGTCATATTTTTCGCGAATACAGAAAATACTATATGTCACTATTATGATAACATTTATTTTGGTCCAGGTATTGAATCACATTTACACAATTTTTTTTATTAAATAGTTACATTTATTAAATATGTTAGCTTGCCTCTGTTAATTTCTTTTCACATTTATTATTTTTAAATTTGTTTAATTGAAAGAAATTTGTCTTATTTTTTTTTGTATAATAAAATGTATATAAAATGTTTGTTTTTACGTTTGTACATTGTACGTACGTTGGTAGAAATATTTTATAACCATTATATATGTTAAATGTTCTTTTAGTTGCTATCATTTGCTACAATACAGAATTGTAGAGATCTATTTCTTAAAATTTTTTAAATTTGTTTTTTCTATTATTTTCGGTATGAGAAGGTATTGCTTTTTTGTCATACAGACAGATTCTGTAAGTCTAAATGTTTTATTTGGCGTTACGCTGTAACATTTACAAAGTAAATTGTATTTTAATCATTGATAATGCAATATGTGTGTGTGGTTGTGCGCGCGCGCGCGCGCGTGTGTGTGTGTGTGTATGAAATAAACAGATGAAGCGATTGTATCTTCATTATTATACGAAAAGCAGAAATGTTTTAAAAAAAGTAGCAGTTTAAATTATTATGTAATTATTATATAACAGGAAAAAACTGTATGGCATAGTTTTAATTAAAATTTATCTATACATATTTTTAATTTTTTTTTATAATAAAATGTGCATAAATCTAATTTTGATGAATATATAGAAATATTTTATAATCAATATGTATGTTGTTAATTTTTGTAGTTGTTGCCATTTGTTAGAATGCAATTTAATAGAGATCTTTTTCTAAAGATTTTGTGGAGTGTCTTCCCAACTATATTTGCCACGATAAAGTATTGTTTTTTTGCGATTCAGGCGGGCGCTGTAAGTCTGACAAGTATTTTATTCGAACATTACATTTTAATATTTATAAATAAAATTGTATTTCAACGATTCAGAAAAATTGAAAATAAAATAAACAGGTGAAGCAATTGCTGGAGCAAATCCGAAATGATTGGAGTTTATTGAAAAGTAAATTGGAAATTGATATTATAGAAAAGTACGCTAGCAACGCAAAGCTTTTCACAATAATTGTAACAGGTAAGAATGTTGATCATCGCAAGCGCGCCTATTATGTATCATATAATTCATGATAATATATAACATTATTTTTTTGCATATTACTAACAAAATTAAGAAGATTGCATTTTTTAACAATTAATGTGTAATCATTTATGTTAATGGATTTAAATTGAACTTAACATTTCTCAGCTGTATACATCACTGGCCTATTTTTTATGGTGGTATTTCAATTTTGGCCACTGATTCTTAATGTTATATTACCATTGAACGAATCACGATCCTGTGAACTTTTCGTAGTCGTGGAATATTTAGTCAACAAGGAGAAATATCTGTACGTTATGCTATTACACGAATTTTTAGCTATATACATAGGAACGACTGGATTGTGTTCCATCGGTATCACATTTGTAATATATACTCTGCATACGTGTGCACTGCTCAAAATTGCAAGGTATTTTGTTAAACGTATTTGTTATTTCAGCACTTGCTTCAATATTGAAGTTATTTTAAATTGATTTATATGTATATAGCCATCGAGTGGAAACCGTGTTCGACATAAGTATGTTAACTAATCCTAGAAGAGAGTATCTTTTTTCTCAGAAGATTGCAGATGTAGTTGTTGTGCATCGAAGGGCTATTGAGTCAGTATTTTTATATTTATGTTATGGTACTTTCTGTATAATATCTTATTCCCTGTATTGCTTTTTATCTTTTAAAAGTAATATTGTATATTCGACTTTATATGTTTACCCCACTTTTAATAGTAAATACATTTTTTCGATATATGTTTGCATTAAATGCAATTTAAATTAGAAATTAGTAAAAATTTAATATACAGGGTAACCCATTTTAATCTGTCACCCCAAATATTTCCGTTCCCTTGCATTTTACAAGAAAATGTTTCAGACAAATGTTGTATGGTTTCAAGGGGGCCATAAAATGATTTCATTGGTTTGACCTTGGATAGTCGTTTAAAGGTCACACGAAGGTCACCTTCAATTTCTTAAATTGAAATCTTCATTTTTCATTACATATTTTTATAGCTTATTTTGAGA